ATACATATATATATATATATATATATATATATATATATATACCGTGCGTTCATATATGCATACTTGTTAACCTGGTCTATCATTTCTACGCGCAGCATGGAAAGTTCTGTCTGTCTGACCGCTCGCCCGGAACAAATTTTTGTTGCTGGACTTGAGAAGACAAAGAGGTGAGAGGGTCTGGCTGGGTCTGCAAACTGCCGTGTGGTCTATCATTTCTACGCGCAGCATGGAAAGTATCGTCTGTCTGACCGCTCGCCCGGAACAAATTTTTGTTGCTGGACTTGAGAAGACAAAGAGGTGAGAGGGTCTGGCTGGGTCTGCAGACAAACTGCCGTGGTTTGATAAGAACGGTTCCAAGGTATAGTGACAACTATGTGATCAATGATCACTTATGTGATCCCACAACGAGCGGAATCGTACAACAGCTCGATGGTAATTAGCTTTGTACTTTGGTTGTGACCTGTCGTATTCAGTAACCAACAATCAATAATAGGCGGGCCAGCCAAATATTTACATACAATCCTTAAGAAGTACAATAAGTTTCAAGTAATACAACTCCAAACGCGGAAGTTGCCAGATCAGGAGATTAAAAAACGGAATCATCCACCCCCCCCCCCCAGATAGACAACGGTAGGGTCAACCCACCCACAATCTCAGCGTCCAGTTTGATATGGAACGTTTTGCAACAGACAGTCACCCAGCTTGGTTTAATCAATCAGCTAAAGACTCAGAATATTGCTGGTCATTGGGACGACAGAACTTCCTGCGTGGGGTCAGAATTGCTTCTTTTTGTTCGTACCAACCGAGGAAAGGTACACGACATTTTTCTGACAATAGTATACGCTGTGCTTCAGTACAGAGATACTTGGTCTCATAAGACCACGTTCCTTTGACAGTCGGAAACTCGATTCGGAAAACAACTCCTCGTAGGATAGTATGGTGGAGTTTGAGGTGCATTTGGATGACACTAAAGTCTAAGATTCTTCCTCACAGTTCGGTTTGATCGCGGGATGACACAGTTATTGGAAGCATTCGACTGTTTTGTAGGATGTTTCACCCTTGGTCAAGTAAGACTCGTGTGAATTACCGTTATTTGTGACAAATGATTCTCGATAATGAAGATATTTTGCGATACGCTGACTCAATTATAAAAAAGAACATTATCGTAAAGAAAACTACCCACAAGGTTGCTGAAAACTCTTCGACGCCTCCCGACGGGTTTCGTGTAAGCATGAGTTTCACGGAAACTCGAGGACTGCGCCCACCTGAGGAGCCCCAAGAAGGGCGAAGTCGGTCGTGTGCTCTCGAAGGGTTTTCAGCAACCTTGTGAGTAGTTTCCTTTAGGAAAATATACTGCGATATCTCGAACATCGTAAAACTGAATCATGAGGCGGATTGTGTGCAGCACATTCGGTTGTAGAACATCATAAACGAGAGATTCAGTTGGGTCTCTCGCGAAAGCCAAGTTGATTTGCAAACGAGTGTATTTCTCGAATAAAGAACATTATTTTTCAGGACCTTCTCGTCAGAGCTGAGAGTTTAAATGATGGTAATAGCCAAGAAGACAACACCGTAAAAATAAATGCAAGGCGCCGGATATTTGGTAACCAGTGACTTGAGGGTAGAAGAAGAATGACAATCCTTTAGAGGAGTTCGCAGAAACGTAGGCTGGTTCGACAACAGGTGGTGGTCACTGAACTGGGCTTAACTTGCCAAATGGAATATGCGTTTTCAACACCCAATCTTTCAGAGACAAAACTTTCCAAGTTTGAATGTCTGAATATCTTTTTATATTTCCATGGCCGATTACCCTTTGATTCGGTTGACCAATAACACAATGAAAAGCGGAAATTCGATCTACCATAAACGGATGCTGAATAAAAGTACGCTTCTGAATAAACTCTGATAATTTGGCAAAAACAACATGCGACTAATTTGTCACGTAGTGCAAATCCTCAGAAGGACAAAGTACAAGATGGACTTTTCCACACATGATTTGTCAGTGGAAACAGGGAGTGGTATGCTAAATTTCAGTTGTTTCCTCGGTGATCTGTTTGCATTCAAAGGTCCAGTGAATTCTCATTTGAATAGTTGGGCTATTTTTACTCTAATCCACTTTATTCAGAATAAAAGAATAGCTATATGCACTCTCAGTTCCATTCTGCAACTTACCGTGTGGCATCTTATCATACCTGAGGGTTTCACAAAGCACAAGTTTATTTCGGCCCCGTCGAAAAGGATCGTTGAACACAGCGCATGGTTTGAGATATACATCCGAGTTGGATCCCTCGGCCTGACCGGTGCTGCTCCCATCAAAGTTCCATATGCGGCAGTCTAGAGTTGGTTAAAAAGACAGGTACTTCAATCGCGACACATTCGGTGTATTTCTAGGATTCGGTGCTAGTTAAGGTACCGCCAGGCAGGAAACTTGAATTGTCAGGAACGTATAAACTACTGAATATTTGATTAGTAGCTTGTAATTAAAATGAAAGCTCTCTGGAGCTCCAGGATAGACGCATGGTGACGCACTGGGCAAGTGATAGCTTTTGTGGGTGAAAATAATATGACCTGGCTTCGGAGGAAACAGAAGTAGCATTTGAGAAAATCCACATCTACGCGAAAGAATCCGATTGGTCGTGATGAAAACTTGAATGAATTTTTCATTCCTGCTGTTCTGCTTACCGTATATGACTCCTCCACGTGTCCTTGGGCCTTTGTACTCGGTTCAGGTTGTGCTACTCCATCAGTGGCCCCGTCGAGACATACATAAATGAGTCATTTCGACTATATTAAACATTCCTCCCGACAACCAGTTAATTTACTTGTTCTAATTAAACACTGCCAGACTAAAAATGTAGACTACAGTAGGTGCCTAAATGACTCTGCTTTGATCACGTGATAAAAAATTACCCCAATTCTTCATTCTCCCTGAAGGTGTCCTGTTAACAGCCTCTAGTGTTGATTAACCTTTTCTGAAATTATGACGCATGTTTTGGTAAAAATACCACCAAAGTTTCTCAAGCACATTTTTGGAGAAGTAAGTGCCAATTAGAGCCCCATTACCAGAATAACAACTGAACGCTGAAATCGATCAGCATCAAATGAAAAACAAAAGTTTTGATAGATAGACAGAAGATAGATATCTTCCAGGAGCTTGCCATAAGAACTCGGGGTAGGATAGCCCACTGGCAGGGCTAACTGGTCCCCCAATGACCCCTGAAACCTTTTAAAATGCAGTTAACCCTGACACTTAAACCTTTCTGGTTCCGGGGCTACTGGGACAAATTTGAGTAAACAAGCTTACTGGTACACTTAATGTAGAGTGTGGACCATATATCCAAGCATCCAGCTGCGACGGTTTCGCTCCCCGGCAATATAAACTGCGAAATTTTAGGATTGTCAGATGACCTAACAACATTTTCGGTGTTGGAGAAAAGTGATAGTCCGACGAAATGGGGAACAGAACAGCCGCACAATATACGCGAGAACTGTGGTCACTGAATAAGCTGTAAATGACACTGCCGTTGACGTACCCTGCTAAATTTTTCACATGTAGGGAGATAGAAGCTGCCAAGAATTTCGACTTTGTCAGTCAATGCTTTCAGGATGTTTTTCTAGGATGGTCTAGTTTCGCCGCCTCCTGTCAGTTTGCCGAAGTCTAGACAAGAACAGCCGAGATAATGAGGTTGGGTTCGAACCAGGAACCTTCCGGTTCATAGGTCGGTGTCTTGGCCATTGGGCTATCTCTCTTCAGTTGCAACGTTGTATTATGATGAACTGGAGAGAATTGATATAAAATAACTATCAGGTGAGACACTTTTCCGTTGTAATCGTTGAGGATTCCAAGATTTTCCTTGAAATTCTATCATCTTCCCCCGACGGTGCCCTTTTCTTTGAAATAACAAACCGTCTCCTCGACAGGGGTACAATATCTTGAGAAAGGCGACAGACATGAAGCGTGCCCTGGTTAACGAAAAATTCGGTGCCCTTGGATGCTTTGAGCAATGTTATCATCGAAAATATCAACTGATGCTTCACTGATATACAACTATGTACAACCATTTCAACGACAGACGCAAGGGTATGATGCAATTGGTCACTACAACTGCTGTATCCTCAACAATTCCAAAGCCTTGAATGTGTGGGATACATACTACTGCCTTAACAAAAAGTTCCTGCATGATCGTCAAAGCAGCCTGTCATTCGGGTCAAACCAGTGACTTTCGGTGGCTATTTGTACTGTAACGACTGCCCTTCTGCTTAATTATTCCTCTAATCAATTTCACACCGGCACCTACTACCACCATTCCGTTTTGTATGTCTCAAAGTCAAGCGTGAACATCGTGACATGAATACGACAACATGTCAACTCCCGTTCCAGGTGATTTCGCATTTTTGCTTCACTATTACAACTTACTCTCAGAACGATAAGTCCTCCGTTTGAACTTTTTTATTTTTAGTATTTTATTTGACTTGATTAGGGTGCACCTAGTTGTTGTATATCTCACGCTCTGATTATCAAGTGATTTTTGTTGTTAACAAAAGAGAATACTAATAATGTGATAGCTACTCCGAGTTCCTTTTGGTGCAGGTGGTCGCGTTTCTGTTGGCAGATTCACTGTTACTTGTTCCTGGTTGTCCGCAGTTTTTGGTGTGTTGAGGCGGTCTGTGTTCTGAAGTGCGCGTGATGTGTGTGTGTGTAGGTGCAGGTGTGAAATTAACTACAGGAATAATCAAGCAGAATGGTAACCGGTACAGTACCAAAAAGGACCAAAAACAATTAGGACAAGACAATTCAGATAATTCAGACGAAATTGTACTTGTCGGAAACGGGATAAAAGGTGAACTGCTCTCGCCTGTTGTCTAGCTCCAGAAAACTTAATACGATTTCACGTACGAAACGGTGCAACTTTTTTCCACACATTTATCGAATTGGGTCGAGTTATGTCCAGATGCGCTGATGGAGCATCTTACTAATTTCATTCGAGCTGTGAATTCGCTTTCCGTCTCTTGACAAGTGAGATTTATTACGGAATTTGTGGAGTCGCTCTGTGGCATTTGCTTGGATTTGAGCAACAGTCAATGAATATCCAGGAAAGTTCAGGAAGACGCGTTCAGGAGAAGATGGATATACAGTTTTGTAAATAAGATGCAAATGAGAGTTTTACTTCCCTGTCCAATAGTCTGCAACTGGTCCGTTGGCATTTTCTAATGAACAATTCCGCAGCGTAGGCCTTCTTACTTTCTCCAGTTCTAACACTTGGTCGTTCAGTCACGAGCTGCTGTGATTAGCTCGCATCCGCCCATTCGTTGAGTTTATCCCAACCGACAGTCCTTTCAGCCGACTGCACACAAAGCCACTCTCCACAGGCACCGCCAAATGACTAGTCCGGCCTGTAAATGACCTGACCTTTGAGAATGACAGTTCCAGTGACATCGGTTCACCAGATCCTACAGACCGGGGGGTGCTATCACGGGAGGCATCGCGCCAACGGTGGTTTGACAAACGAACAGTGTATGTGCCTGCCTGATCTTGCATATGTGTATGTGAACGTGTCATTCTCTACTCCCACTCAGGTCTTTGTGACCCACTGTCCGAGCAGTTCACTGTCATTGTTTGTCCACCACAGATGTCAGGAATCTGTTACGAAGATCGACGATAACTTCGTCACCACAGGGCGCATTCGGAATCAGCCAACCGGTTTCTGTCATTCGTTTGGTAGCACTCTAGCCACTTAAGCGCCAGAGTGCAGCGCGGGCTGAATTTCCTATCACGCACATCTGGAGACTGCTTTGCGTGTCAGGCCACGCAAAATGCAGAGCACAGTTAGCTTCCGGTCTTTTTAGTCGTTTTTTAGTGGGACTTATTCTGAATTCTCTCAATTTATATTCATTCCCAAGGTGTATTTGTAAGCTGTCTCCACTTCATGTGAATAAATCGCCATCGACGGCTGCACCACCAGTGTCGAAGTGCCAGTATTTCACTGTCCTACAATCACAATAACTTATCTGTAGAACACCATACCGCACAAATAAATGGGGACTGGGGGCGGAGAAGGCGTACTGCTAGCCAAGCCTCAAACGCAAACTGGCTTTACAAACGCCACAGAGTTTAGTTTACTTCGCCATATCTTACACCGTCTGTAGTCAAGTATAGAAAACATCTGCATTGACCCATCCTGGAGGGCTGGTTGTATGCGTAGCACTCGGAGCTTTCACGGTCATCTCTTTTCCTTATGCCCAGTCTTACGCTGTCTGTATTGTTTAACTAATTGTATAAGGCCGAACTTGGCATTTCCGTTTTTTTCTTATTTTGGCAAGGAGTGGAGCTTCAGTGGTTCATATAAAGGCACGCATCATCATCATAATCATCATCATAGTCATCGATCATCATCATCATCATCATCATCATCATCATCATCATCCGAATCATCATCACCATCGTCGTCATCATCATCATCCGAATCATCATCCGAATCATCATCATTATCATCATCATCATCCGAATCATCATCCGAATCATCATCACCATCATCCGAATCATCGTCATCATCATCATTATTATTATCAGCTGTAATAACCGCGTACTCGTCGTACAGTGGTTGTGGCTGCTACAGTTTCGTTCACCGATGATTCGGGGAGGTGGGGTAGATAGCTGCGCATTGGAGGCGGGAGCTGATAAATGAGTGCTTAAATACATTACTGTGGGTGGACTGTTAAATGGGGGGATTGGGAAGGGAGCTATGCATTGAAGGCAATAGCTTGGATGCATGAGCGCCATTGAGAGCACGACTGGGCCACGTCTGACCACGTCTAACCATTGATATGGCCCGTCTCAAGGTCCCTATCCAGGAAGACGACAATGACCAGCGCAGATGAGTTTGCTGGTAATGGCTTCTATACTTCGCTACCAAGTCATTGTTTGACCGCCTCTGGCTCTCTTCCACCCTTCACGTGGCTGTGCGAAAAGAGCCCCTCGAGGAAGTCGGCCGACTGGCACGTGGCCAAGGCAGCGCAACCTATGCAGTGTGATCAGTTCATCTATCGAGGGTGAGTTATTTCTCCCGAATTCCATTCGACGAACTTCAACATTACTGATCCGGTGTTCCCACCAGATTCGGGCAATTCTCCGTAATTTACTCACCACTCTACAACCCCATTCGCTTCAGAATCCAAAGACGAAAATAAATTAGCCAGGTGTGGGGATGAGATGGTCCAGGTGGCTAGAGCGCTAATTCACTGACCCGAAGGTCCGTGGTTCCAGCCCGACATCTGCCTCTCGAATTCCCCTGGCTAGGCTTGGGCAACCTGACAATAGCCCAGCCCTCATGTTTCCTTCGGGTGGTATGGCAGTTAGGCACCGAAAAGGTGCTACAGCTGAACGCTAACAAGCTATCGATGACAACATCTGCTGGAATTCGAATATCGGCCATATCACGTTTTGCAGGAGTTTCAATCACTACTACTTCGTTGGACCCCACTCAGGAAGTGGAGACTGAGATTGCCTGCCATTTTATCGTGTGGGCACGTGTGGTCCAACTCACTCGCGCCAAACCTCGTTAAAAAGGTCGAATTTAATAAACACTTTCCTTTGGCAGATGATCGATGGGCATCCGAGGGCTATGACTCCATTCCCCCTTACTTGACAGGTTTTACCTACTGACCGATTAGTGCTCACTCACGGATCACCTCATTTAGCACCGTCACCGACAACACCCGTCCACGACAGTTATTTACACAAAGCCTCGTGAAGAAAATAACTATTCAGCAATAACATTCGAGGTATCTACGCACTCAATCCAACAAACGGGTTGAAAGCGACGGTATGAGGGGTCTTACTATCTGCGAGCAGCTAAATAACTTCATTGCGGAGATGCTATGACCAGATAGGTCCATGTATATCAGGATGACTTTGATGGTTAGACGATGGAAGATGTTTTAGGTCACCAAACGGCCAAGTATGAGCCTATCTCAGGATCTGAACTGTCCAGGGGAGCTAGTTCCAAACATCAGATGGTGTGAGGTGTGCTTGACACTGTTGACAGCATTCTCATGTCAACATTCGGATGCAGAAGGCTTTCTACATGCTCAGAATAGGCTTGGTAAGCCCATGTCTCCTATTGCGGTACGCGGTATGACAAAACCATAAGCGCATTCTTGGAGGCAAAGGTGTTCTTAATAAACGGGCGTTACCTTCATGCCAGAATACTAGCTAGAGATGAAAACTAAAAATTGTCCGGTCCGAGTAAATATTCCTAGTAGATGTTACCAAAAAATGCTGTCTTCTTGTAAGTTACTGTGTGGATAGTTTTTCAAGAGCGGATTTATGACCTGTCTGGAGTTATACAACATATTCTAGATCGCTTAGCACAGAGAGGCAAGGAAACTTACTGGTGTATAGAACATTCTCACTTACCTTCCGGACTTGTTGGTTCTTTGTCGACAGTCATGTCTTTACATCTCATATCGACACCGGAAGCATCAATCCAGATGTACGTCAGTTGTATTTTGTCTTCTGGCTGTGGTAGTTCGTAATAGCGAGCCAAAAGCATTTTGGAATCCGTCAGCACTGAACTCGGCTGATACATTTTGAGCGGACGGATAGTTTGGACCAAAACAACTCTAGAATTATCAGCTTTTCCTCTGTGAAGAACGAGGTTGGCATGCGTTTTATTCTCCGCTCCGTCGTGACCTGTTTACCTGATTGGTTCGGAAGTTCAAGGTCAACGGACTACCTGGCGCGTGATCTAGCCAATCGATGCAACCATTGATGTGTTGACCACAGAGGGTCATAAGACATTGGGACTCTGAGTGAGCGATTGCAACAGCGTACAGCAGTTCGAACGATTTTAGCGAACAGATCCAAAAATTTTCTGTTGAAATATTCAGTGCCAGATAACAGCTGACTTACTGAGCTGCATTTCTCACCTGCTGGCCTGAAAAATTAAAATTTTTGGCGGCATACCATCCGAATGCAGCGAGCGTGTTTGAGTGCATTCATTAAGAAGAACACTCACAATGAAATCGAATCCTCAAGGGACCCTTAACAGAGCTAGTAGACTTGGTCACAGCTCCTTGTGTTTTTAGTGATTCAAGTATAAACACGATGATATTTCGGATACCGTAGAACGACTTCTAAGCTTAGTGAAAAAGCCATTCGTTACTAAGTCCAAATGAAAGTGACTGCACAACTGATAGGCTTTGTTTTTTTACTTTTTGGCATCAGATATTCATTTTCGAGACAGACACACCATCTCGGTTTTCAAATGTATGATTTTTCCAAGACTGTCCTGTTAATAATGAAGTTATAGGCTCCTTAATTGCACTCTGGATCGCTTCTGGTTCAACACTTTAGTCAGGCTGCTGAAAAGTAACATCGGTTTTGTGGTTTGAGACTTTGAAATTCTTGGCTCTCCCACAGGTGTTGCCTGCATCAGGGGACAGGCAACCTAAATTATTTTCGTGGTATTGTTCCTGTGGTCATTCCAGGGTTCCTTTCCCGTCTGAGGCCGTCTATGTTACTTTTTAGGTAGGTATTTGAAGGGTACCCAGATATTTCGGTCTATAGATTTACCGGACAGTAAAATTTCCGCCTAAAAACAAAAATCTAGTAACTTTTCGGACCCGAATACAGTGAGTGTTTACGAGCTGTTAAAGTCCACAAGAACCTGTTCATGGCACAGATTCTGTTATGATCTTAAGACGTTTGATAGATGCGGTGCAAAACCAGGTAACTAACAGATGAGACGTTTTTTATGCCAACAAACCCTGTTCATAGACAACTAAAGTTAAAGAGAAGTATCTCCCTCTCAGTCGGATTACATTTAGGCAGTAAATTCCTATGCACGCTAATAAAGAGGCTGATAATGGCTGTCATAATGGTAGAAATCAGAAAACAGGTGTGTCAGTCTGTCGATCTGCTCCATGTGATCAGCACTCAATGGAAACTCGGGAAAGGTGAGGTACAAAGGTGCAAACACACCAGAGTAACTTAAATCATTTCAGTCACATCAGGTGTTCAGCCCACGGGAAAGTTTATCCGTAAGTGAAGAAAACAAAAGCCAATTTCAATTGCATTATTAATCAAAGTAGGTGAATTAAATTTTTTTACCTGTTCATTTAAATCTCGTCATTCTCCAGACTAGTTGGAACGATCTTACAGTCACCATCATCCAACTTGACACAACTTGGTATAACGAAATAGTCAAAGGGTTGCCGAAGATACTTCAACAGCCAGCTGCCGGTTTCGCTCCTCTTGGAGCTCATCAGTTAGGCCTTCCTTTCGAGGACTGGGTTCGCCCTTGAAGCAAGACGTCTTTATTTTACAAGTCGTCAACTTTCAGACCCTTATCATTACTGAACGCAATCTTAGAGTTTTCCAAGTGGCTCTTCTGATCAGTCCGTGTAATTTCATAGTCGTCCCCATTCTATTGAGAAGGGAAACAATGACAGTTTAAACGTCCGTGTTTCGGAAATGCATGGTAAACCATCGGTAGCTTTTATTAGGGAAACATTTCGCTTTTGACACAAAAGCTTCATCAGGCCAAGTGAACAGGTCACCAGATTGGCCAGATTATAAGACAGACGAGGAACCAATCAGTAAGTCCTCTTCACACTAGATCAGTATTGAGTGTCGATTAACGGCTCCCC